AAAGTTAGGAGCAGCGATGAGAAAACCAATAAGTAGCATTCTGGGAACTGTAACATACTTAATAACATACTTAGTTCTTCAAATCATTTCTTGAATAAAGGTACGTACTAGGTATCTGGAGACTAGGCCATATACTAGTAGTAATTGGTGGTAACTAGCACTGGTAATGAACTAGCATGAGTAAGAATTCAATTTTTCACTAACGTCAATAACACATCAAAATGGGCTGTAAATAAGCTATGTATTCCTAAAAAAAGAGAAAGCCCTAAATAGGCTTTGTGAAATGAATTACAAAGGGAGAAGGAGAGAAAAAGTTGGTAGCTTACCTTTCAAGATTTTAATTAATGAAAAAGAAAATATTGAACATTTAACTTGGGAAAACAAGTACTAGGACAAATTCTCTAAAAAACTGCCATATGCAAATTTACATAAAAATGTACACATATTTTTACAATGTGGACATTTTAAACCTGTGGCACTTGGAAGTTACATGGGAGAAGTGACATCTCCTGCTATCTCCAGGTTTGTTGGCTCTATAGCTCAGTTTGCCATAAGCAAGGCAGTACCAGTAATTATGGCTACAATGGCTGCTGAATGGCATAGATCCCTGGGTGTAGCTGCCTCTGCATTGCCCTACAATGAAGGGTGTCACTGCCTTTTAATTAACATTAGCAAGGGGAACAGGGTGTTTCTGAGGACTTGTAACAGTACATAAACAATAATATTTGTAAAGAAGAAAAAAGTGTGCTGTTTTAGCAAAGGATCAGGACAGAAGAAACCTGCAAGGTATAATGATAACAGTAGGAATGCATCTGAAAATTGGCCCTCATGTCTATAAACTACCCTAATGTTTTCTGTTAAAATGAGGACTTTACCTTAAAAGATTATAGCAAAGAAAGAAGACAATAAAATGTCCTAAATAGATTCTAATTGAGTTAAGGAAAGTCAAATGGAAGAAATATTTATAACACAGTATATTCATTTTATCCTATATAATAAAGAGGTGATATGCAAATTAGCTTTCACAAGATGGCTGCCTATGACCAGGGGTGAGGGACAACTGAACAAGCAGGTTGCGTAGGGCAACAAGGCCAGCAGGAGAGGATGGGAGGGCAGACAGTAAGAGGTGACCAGGCCAGAGGGGAGGGGCAGTTGGGGACTACCAGGCCAGCAAAGGGGAGCAGTTGGGGCAAATGGGCTAGCAGGGGGGGCCAGTTAGGGGCAACCAGGCAGGCAGGCAGGTGAGAGATTAGGAGCCAGCAGTCCAGGATTGTGAGAAAGATGTCCTTGATTGATGAGGGTGCAGGCTGGGCTGAGGGGGACCCCCTACCATGCACTAATTTTGTGTACCAGGCCTCTAGTATGTATATAAAGATAAAAATTCCTACAGTCTTAACCTAGTGTACAGTCTTAACCTATTTCCCTTCTTCGTTGAAGGGAAACAGAAACCTTATTTCCTGGATCAAATCCAATCTCTAAAAATATTTTGAGATAAGAAAATAACTTGCCAAAGGAAACAGAAAAAGATGTCTTCTGTTCTGACAAAGGGAAGACGTGCTATCAAAAATGAAAGAAAGAAAGGACTTGCTAAAACTTTTGAAACAAATACAGACCGTACTGCTTGGTCTCAGGGTGGACATGGAAAAATAGATGCTATATGCATTGTTCAAAACCTCCAGAGAGGAAGAAAATCTTAGTTCCAATACAGGGTTCACGCTTACATTTTCCACACTTTAAGAACAAGGAGCTGGAAACAAACAAACAAACCAACAAAAAAAATAGATAAGTGCAAAAATGAGCGAGCAGGAAATAAGAACTGAAATTGCATTTTTGTGAACAAAATACCATCATTTAAAATTTTGAGGAAAAGTTAAATAGTTTGGGCTTGAGAAAAAAAAGTCTCTGGTAGTGATGATTTTCTATCTTCATTTCTAAAGGAAAAAAACCAAACGGCAAACAGAAAATTCACTTAGAAATAGATAAGACGTTTAAAATTTCCAGGGAGTAATGAAAAGCAAATAGTGTCAGCTCACAAGAGATTATGAAATGATTGGAACCCAACAGTTCTCTGTGTGGGAGTCTTCAACTCAGCTACTGTCATTCACCCAAGCTCCAAGGCTTTTTTTCCCTTAACCCTCTTCACACCTTTCAGTGGACAAGTTTTAAAGCTGGCATTCTAGCAGAAAAATTGTTATCTTTCAGTCTTTATTAATTAGAAACTAATATGATTCTGTCTTTAGCTTTCTAGTTCTAAAAGGCTTTACTTTTGGAATGCTGGGACATATAGCCTATTGGCATAATATATAGCCTAATCAGAAATTCTGCTGGCCAAGGAATTATAGCCCAAAGTAATCACTATGTATTTGGAGAATTACATAGAGTTCTAAATATGCAGGACAATTTTTAAACTATCAGGTTTAGATAGAACGAAGGTTAGAAAGAAAAAAAAAATCCCCATTTCAACATCACTTTGATCCTTTAGCGTATAGGGGAGGCAGAGACTACAGACAATAATGGTCAATGATAGATGAGTAATATTTGAGAACCATGATCTATCAGGTATTTTACATGTTGTCTTGGTAAATCTTATAACTTTGAAGTAGAGTTAATTATCTCTTTATTAAATAAAAATTATTCTCTATTGTATGGATGAGGAAATGAGACTCAGAGAAGCACTTATTCAAAGTCTATAAGGTTGTTAAGTGGTAGAACAAGAACTCAAATTTAGGCCTAATCTGAAGCCTGTATTTTTGTTACTCTCCTGGTTCACAGGTTTGAAAATATTAGGGATCTAGATAATTTCTATCACCCCACAAGAATTTTTTTTTTGTTTCTTAAATATATTTTATTGATTTTCTACAGAGAGGAAGAGAGAGGGATGGAGAGGTAGAAACATCGGTGAAAGGGAATCATGGATCAGCTGCCTCTTGCACACCCCTACTGGGGATATGCCCGCAACCAAGGTGCATGCCCTTGACCGGAATCAAACCTGGGACCCTTGAGTCTGCAGGTCTACTCTCTATCCACTGAGCCAAACCAGTTTTGGCATCCCACAAGAATTTGTAATGCTTTCCACTGTTACTGTGGTTTGAATGTATAAGGACCTCAAATTTGATTCAAGAGACAAACTGCTTTATTTTTTAGCTCTGTAATTCAGAGAAAACTCCAGGTTTACATTTCTACCATTGCGTTTATAAACTTAATTACTTCATAAAAAGTCCATTTGCTTTTGTAAAAAGTTTGATTTTATAGAGGAAGGGAAAAGAACAGAGATAATAACATCAATGATGAGAATCATCCAGATCTGCCTCCAGAACACTCCCCACCAAGTACCAGCCTGGGCCCACTTGCTTTTTTTTTTTTTTTCAGTCATCTTTCCCCTAACATTATTAATCAAGTGTAATTTTGAAATATCCATATTTTATGTGAGGACTTCAAGGATTACATGACCTCCTATTCCTTTGCAGATTTATTCCTACTTGGCTAATGTTATTAAGGACAGCTTTAATGTTTATGCTTTCATGAAGTGCACTGATAATGATTTCTCAATCCCTATAGTACTTTTGAGATTTGTATTGTATCAGAGATGTTACAATCAAAATAGTTTCACCAAATGTTATTTGGCATAGGGTAGATGTCTTAAGTTTAACACACAGTAACTTTTTTATTGAAATTGAATAATTAGCAAACACAAATGGTTAACGTTTATGCAATAAATGCTGATTTAAAGCGGGTAAGTCAGAGGCTCAGTCTAAAATTTACTGCAGTGGGTAGTATTTATATACCCGTATTCCAAAACTTCGTTTTACAACAGTTGTGTAGTATTTAATTTACTGAACAAAAGGGTTCCTCCTAGGTAACCTTTAGTATTCTGAGACTTGAGACATACAATTTTTTTTTTTTTAGTTCTTGAGATTTACTTCTAAGTATTAAACCAGATGTTATTTTCCTGTGTGACATTCCAAAACGGGCACAATCACTTTGGATAAAAAAAGAAAACAAGGTCTTCAGGGTTTAAGAAAAAAATAAAGTAAAAAGATGAAAAAAAGGAATATTTTCCAGTTCACCAGACAGGGAGGAAAAAAAAAAAACTCGTGTTCAGGATCCTCAAAAGAAGAGCCCGAGTTTAAACGTTACAAATACTTTTCCCTACAAAGAGACGCGGGGGGCCTCCCTCCGGCCCGCGTTTTTGGGGTGACACCAGCAGCAGGACCCGGGCACCTGCGGCGCCCACCGGACCCGCGAGGGGCGCAGGGCCGCGCGCTTCACCCCGGCGCTCCGCCCGCCTCCGGATTCCACTGCGCAGTGACGTCCCGCGGCCGCGCCCCAGAAGCCGGAGCCGGGGGCCGCGCGGGCCTTTCGCCAAGGTGTCCGTGCGTCCAGGAGGGGCCCGCAGCCCCGCGGCGGAGACCACCTTTTCCCTCCCGGCAGCAGCCGCTGGCCCGCGGCCTCCGAGAGCGGATACCATCCGCGGGCCCCGCTCCGGGACCGCAGCCCCGCCCACCGCGCAGCGCACGCGTCCGCCGGAAGGGGCGGGGCCCGGGCGGAAGGGGGCGGGGCCCGGGCGGCGCGGCGAGCCCCGCGGCGCACGGGGTGGTTCCTCCCGGCCGGCCCGCGGCCGCGCGTTTCCGGCGCGCTCCCCCGCGCCCTGCGTCCTTGGTCTCGCCCGCCCCGCAGCCATGTTGGATCGTGCGGCCGCCGCCGCCGGAGGAGGGTCGGCGGAGCTGGGAGTGTAGCGCGGGCGCCGGAGCGCGGGGACTGCGGCCAGCTGGCCAGAGCCTCGCCGGGCGGCAGCCGGGGGCTCCCTTCCTCCGCGCGGCCCGCCGCCGGCTCCTCCTTCCCGTGGCCGCCGCCGCCGCCCCCTCCTCCTCCTCCTCCTCCCGGCGCCGGAGGAGTTGCGAGATGCTGAGCCTGTGACTCCCCTCCTCCCGCCCCTGTCACCGAGGGGAACGCGCGCTCGCCCACTCGCCGGAGGAGGAGACGGCCCCGGACTCGGAACCATGAGCTCCGGCCAGCAGCAGCCGCCGCCGCGGAGGGTGGCCAACGTGGGGTCCCTGCTGCTCACCCCGCAGGAGAACGAGTCCCTCTTCGCCTTCCTCGGCAAGAAATGTGTGGTCAGTGGCCGGGACCCGCGGCGCCGGGAGTGGGTGGGAGAGGGCCGGGGGCGGGGGCGGCGCGGAGGGTCGGGCTGCCGGCCAGGCCTCCCCCCGCCCCGGCCTCCGGACCCCGCTGCCCCGGTCCTCTGCCCGGGTGCGGGCGGTGCGGGCCGCGGCCCCGGGCGCCGCCTCCGGAGCTGCCCGGGGAGGGGGGAGTGTCTGTCCCGGAGCCCCCGGGGCCGCACCCCTGGTTGCTGGTTTATATAAAACTTTATATCGCGGGGAGGTCCCGATGCAGGTTTCCTTGCAGAGCGGCTGGATCTCTCTCCCCGGGGCCCTGTCCTGGCCCTCGTTCACCTCTGACCGCTCGGTCTTCACGACACCAGAGCTTTCAGCAGGGGGCCGATCGGAAAAAAAAAGGAAGCCCAAAATATGAATGAAACGGACCAGGAAGTTGCTCTTCGTCCCACTGTAGGATTTCAGGAGGCAATGAAGTCGAGTTTGCATCGGTTCAGGGCGAGGGCAGGAAATGCTGCTGTTTCCAGATGGGAAGCAAAGGGGTTTGTTTCTTTAGGAATCTCGCCGAGGCCTGGTTATTACTCTCCTCCTTCTGCTCTTTCTTTCTTTTTTCTTTTCTTTTTACCTTGGTGGGAGGAGGGGCTGCTCTCCCCACAACCATGCGCTGGGGGAGCCTTGACCTTTGGGGGCCTGCGAATGGTGCTTAGGTTGGTTGCTGTGCGGCCTGTTCAGACCCCAGATGGCTGGTTGGGAGCAGGCGGTTCCGCTGTGGGAAGGGGAATGTGTGTTGTTGACGGAAGCATTCATTGCATTGGCTGCTGGCACGTCTGGGGGTGGGGAGGCTCCGCTCCGCGGTGCAGGCCCGGTCCAGCTGCTGCTCGCTGCGGTGCTGGGGGAGCCGGGGCTGGGTTTGCTGACACGCTCGCTGTGGGGGTCCCTTGACTCCCCTCGTGCCTTGTGAGCACCTACCTGCAGGGTGTGTGCCGCTGGAACCCCAGAAACACCTACAGAAATGTCAATGGAACAGGTCTGCAACTTTGCACGGTAGTGTTCAATGTGTCCAAGCAGGCCACACCTGCTTAGGAGTTAGGTTTTGACAGTTTCCGGGAAATTACCGCATTCATGGTTAACTTCCCAGGAGTCTTACTTTCCCTTTGTATCCCGTCCTATCCCATCGGACGTTGAATCAGTACATTCAACTCAGATGCGTTTCATATGTGAGAAGTTAGATCTTAAAGAACATACGTTGAGTTTACTTATGAAAAGAATGCAATAAAGAGAGGTGGCTTAAAAATCGGAATTTTGGGAGACTCATTTAAAGATGATCAAGTTTCCCCCATCCCCCAGCTTTTTTAAAAAAAACAAATGAGAAAATTGTGCCAACTGTGCCGGTGAACCCTAAATCACACAGCTATTTAGTAATGTGACCAGAACTAGGAAACCAGGGCTCCCGATGCCTAGACTGTCGAACTTTCCACTACATCATGTTGTTTTAGAAGTGGTTTTTCTTTCTTGTTATTGGTTTATTTCTAGAAGTGGTATTAAAAGATTAATAACTTTTGTTTAACCCAAAATTAATGTAATTAAAATTTAAGATTCTTATTTAAGCCCTAATTTATTGCATATTTTCAACTTAGGTAAATATCTAGCACTTTAAATGTTAAATTACCTGCAAATGAAAAATAAAAACCTTGTTGGTTTATTACATTTGCTGTCAGAAAGTAGTTGGATGTACTTTGTTTTACATACCAAACGCATTAGCTTTAGGCAGGAAGGACATTGCAAGCATCCTAATTGCTCTGTGCTTACCTATAAGGAGCTGGTTATAGGTTTCAACAAATGACAGATGTGGAAGGTGATAAAGATAATATTGTTTACTAGTTAGTGTAAATGGATTGCCAAATAAACTGTATTCAGTGTTTAATTTCTTTGTCATCTATTAATAAACTTGACCCTTTGAATTTCTGTCATTTAAAAGCACACTGCTATAGTTACCTGCTCTCCTGGTATGAAATTATTGCGAAGATTACTTTAATATTTGACATTTCCAGCTATTAGAGAGTAAAGTAAGAATGATATTTTAATTTTTGGAACAATCTTTTTTTTCCCCCCTTTGCTGACTATGCAGCGGTTTTGTTTTTTGTTTGTTTTGGTAGTTTAAGATAATACTGAAATACATTGTTTCATTTTTAAAAAAAAGTTTAGCAATAAGATTTACAGGTCAGACCAAATTTGTTAAGCAACTGTATTCAGAGGAGTAGTTATAGCGCCAGCTCTCAGGCATTTCAGTCTTTCATTCACTCAACAAATATGTATTGAGTAACTAAATGTTGAGATCAAACCAGGGTTGATGCCTACCCTCAAGAAGCTTTGTGTTTAAAAAAGGGAAGCAAATGTGTAAAGTAATGTGTAAGTCAATACCTCAGAGTGATATGTAAGAAGCTGCAAGTTACAGTGGAAAATGTGTTGCTTTGTAGTCAGCAGACAGGGGTTCAAACTCATGAGGTCACTTTGGACAAATTAAGCTCCCTGTCCTCAAATTAGTTTTCTCATCTCCGAAATAGGGGTACCATCTTATGGGGGCAGTGGGGTTGTGATTAGAAGGACTGTATGTAAATATGTGGGTTATTATCTTTATAAAGATTTAGAGGACCAAAGAGAGGATGAGTAAAAGCTTTTTTAGAATGGTGTATACTTAAATATTTAAGATTAGTGGGTACTCCCCCAGGTTAATGAGAGGTATGAAACAGCTTGGAAAGTCAGGAGACTTAATAATAATAGTATGTTTTGAGCAAGGAAGGTTTCTGCTTGGGTTCTCAAATTTAGTTTGCATTGGAATTAGGTGGAGATGATATTACAAATGCATAGAAATAGGCTAAATTCCTAGATAATATTCAAACTCAGTGGTTCTGATGTGGAACTTGGGCATTCGATTTTGAGCATGCTTAACAGAAGACTGGCATCTATCACAGTTTGAAAACCACTGCTGATGTCTACAGTTTTCTGATAGGGTAATCTGAAGCACATTGGAAATGTTAATAGGTTTCCCCTCAATCTTTGGTCTATATTTTGTGAATTAAGGTTAAGTTAAAACAAATTATTTAGTATGGCATTTCTTCATTCCTTTAAGACATCAATTCATAGAAGTGAGAGAGATACAGTTCAAGTATTAGACTACAAGGTCATGTATTTGGCTTTTAGAAAGTTTAGGGAGGAAGGGGAAGGCACCATAGGCAGTGGATTGAAGATTGTGAGAGTGAAGACAAAGGAGATCTCATAGGTTTTTATAGAGTCAATGTAAAATATCTTGAGGGCCCGAATTAAGGCAGTGCTGGTAGTAATTCAAGGATAATTAAAAAGACCCCAATAGGATTTCTTCCTCTTCAAATAAAAGGAGTTGGGGAAGGGAATTGGTATAAAAATAAATATAACACCAGCAGGAGTATGCAGAACTTTCTCACTAGATGAAAATATACTCAGATGTCAGTTGAGACTGTATTGATGATTGGTTTAAATAAGTCTTTGTTTTTTTAGTTTTTCAAAATAGATTTTGTGAAAGTTGAGGTTTCATTTAAAGTTATCCTTTACAATAAGGATGTAATAGGCAAATGGTCATTACGCCCTGAAGCATAACTACTGACAGCGTAATGACCTAATGACCGATCATGGATCAGCAGGAGGGTGGGACAGTGAGCTACAAGCAGTGGGTGGCAAAGAGCTTCATGAGGGGACAGGGCAGCAAGCTATTGGGGGGGAGGGGTAGGGGAAGCAGGTGGCAGCAAGCTACTGGCTACAAGTGGGTGGTGGAGAGCTACAGGAGGAGGCAGGGCAGCAAGCTATGAGGGAGGGGGACCAGGCAGAGAGCTACTGGTGCATGGATTTGTGCACAGGCCTACTCATGTAATATACGTGTTATGTACTTCCACGTAAAGTAAATAGTTCATTAGCTGGTAGTGTTTTCTAGAATAATTAAAAAGGGTTAAAACAAGATTATCAGGTTTTGTTTAATAGTTTTGTTGTCTTTCATGTAGTGTGGTTTTACTTATTTTCTATAAAGAGATGTGCTCTCTTGCCAAGTGGAGTTTCATATATAGTCCTGAAAAAGAAATTAGGTAAGGCTTGGGAAAAATAAAACCTTATACTAGCCCTCTGCAACCAACTATCTCTGGCTAAAAGGATTGGGGTTTAGTAATGTTGGCAGTTACCTTTCCCTGTCATACTCTCGTGGTTTGTTTGTTTCAAGATTTAATGATACCATTTTTATTAACCAACTTTAATCTTCATTTCACTTAATTCCTAGCACTTGCTTATATTCTTTAGGTGTTTGTTTTCTCGTCCTGTATATAATTCTGAGAGACTGAACTTCATGCCCGTGTAGCTTTCTATATAATTTTTATAACATCTAGCATACAGGTCACTGAATACTCATTGAATTGTTCTAATTGCTAACTTGCTTTTACTTAGGAGCTCATTCGGCATTTCTTATTGCTTCACCAGGTTGTTAAGATCTTTTATTTCTAATGTTATACTAATAAAGTCTTTGTTAGGAAAACAAAGTGGTTTAATGTTGCTACTGATAGAGGTAGTATCAGTAACTGCCCAACAGTTACTTGTTTCTGTTCTAAATCCTTAAATAGGTCTAGACTGAGGGAAGGGTGCTTAGAGGGGTCATTGTGTTGATGAAGGCCTGAAATAAGGAGTTAGGGGTTGAAATGTATTTCACCTTGAGTAATGTGGAAAGAAAAAGGTTAAAAATTCATGGGATTTGGAATATACAAAGCTGAGAAAGCAGTCTTGCCTAGTATAGAGGAAAAAGGTGACTACAAAGTGCCAGACAGAGTGGACATTCAGAAGAATCCAGATCTGGGTTATACATCCTGTTTCTTGTTATTCTTAGCTGTATAACATCGGTTTTCAATCTTTTTTCATCTCATGGACATAAAAGCTACTAAAATTCTGCAGCACACCAAAAATAGATTTTTTGCAGATCTGACAAAAAA